CTGTGCACTTTTTTCCTCGCCACTTTCATTTCTTCGTCGGACTGCCCGCCTCTTCCTCGTGCATTACTTAAGAAATTAAAGAATGATGTATCCTGCGAGTACCATTTCATGTCAGGAAAGTACTGCCAAGTAAAAATAGCCGTTCAGTTTGAAAAACACATTTCTTTCTTTATTTTGCGTTCTTTATGCTCAACTTTTTAGTGTTTTCGTTCCCGCGCTCGTTCGCTTTTTAGCGCCAGTCACAACCTCAGTGTCAGTATCTCTGTTTATGCCAGATTTTGCATCCTTTGGCTTAATTGTACCTTTCTGGCTGCTCTGTCGGTTTACCAACTTTTCGCATTTTTAAAAAATAAAACGAAGTGGATTTTCGGGTACAGCGAGTTGCTTTTTCCAGTCTGCCAAAACAGACTACCCCGCTGGATCGTGATTTTACGCTAACAGCGACCAGTATTTAACCGCGGCAGAATGCTTCCTGTGGTACCTGAAATCGGCGTGTGTGGGCCAGTGCCTGCAAGAAGCTACTTTCCGAGAAGCAGCTGCAATAGCATTTTATGTGCAGGGTATGGGAGCACCGATTGTTGGCGTTACGCCGCTCTTCGCTGTATACTTTGGCGGCTGCGCGTTTGGCAAATGGCTCCAACAAACATCAGCGCAACAGGAAATGACTTTTGTCCAAAATCTTTTTGCTGGTGGACTGGCGGGTGTCTTCACAACAGTTATCATGGTACCCGGCGAGCGCATTAAATGTTTGTTGCAGGTATTGCTATTCTTTGAAATCACTTCTGAGTAGTTGGAGTTGAAATCCCTTTTTATTCATTGTGTCTGAGAGATGGACATTCCGAAATAACTGGAATGGGAGCACCTGCCAACAACAGCCGCTCATAGATAAGTAATCCAAGTTTCTTTTCTCCAAGAATCCTCTTTTCTCCTAGTTTAGCTATTAAGCAAGCGATCACGGACTCGATGCGTGCACCACTACCAGTTATTTATTGAAAGGAGCGAGTCGTAGAGGGACTGGTTGCCCCACTATGGCAGGAATGAATCCTCGAAACTCTTTGGGTCAAATTTTTGAAAATGAATAAGTTAATCGAAGTCAATAAAAAGCATTCTACCTATTTAGGTGCAGCACTCAGATCATCCAACGACAGTTCAGTATAAAGGGCCAGTTGATGTTATCAAGAAGTTATACAAGCAAGGTGGCATAGGAAGCATATATAGGGGAACAATGGCAACTTTACTAAGAGGTGAATGCAAAATCTGAAGCAAATCAACATTCATTTGAAAATAGTATTTTTTGCATATCTGGGTCATCATGAAAAACTGTTCTTGTCTAGCCTGTTAACCATTTGACTGAAGAAACATGTAAAAAGCTCAAATTGTGCCGAAGTATTGTGAATTTTAAATCTCTGTGGAAATTTCTGGTGCGACTTTGTGCGTTAAAATCTTGAGATCTTAACATCTGAGGATTTTTTCTTATCTTTTTCCAGATATTCCAGCAAGTGGAGTCTATCTAGCAACCTACGAGTATTTAAAGAAGCTTTTTACGAGAGATGCTAAAAGCAAAAAGCTCAGTCCCCTGTCAACACTGGTTGCCGGCGGTTTGGCCGGTGTTGCGAACTGGTCTGTATGTATACCACCGGATGTACTCAAATCACGCTTGCAAACTGCACCAGAAGGAAAATATCCCGAAGGTATGACTTTTT